CCCTGAACAACAGGAACCAATATACAAGGACACGTGCACCTCCATGTTTATTGCAGCACTGTTCACAATAGCTAGGATATGGAAACAACCCAGATGCCCCACCACAGATAAGTGGATCCAAAAATTGTGGTATCTATACACAATGGAATATTATGCAGCCATTAGAAATGACAAAATAATGGCATTTGCAAGGAAATGGATGGAGCTAGAAGGAATCATGTTGAGCCAGGTAAGCCAAGAGCAAAGAGACAAACGGTACATGGTCTCCCTGATAAATGGATGCTAAAGCCAAAATGTTAGGTGATACGACAAAACTAACAGGACTTAAGAAACAAAGAACTCCCACTCATCTGGTTGAACCACTACTAAATATCCCCATGCTGCTGATCACATGTATGGTGTATAACATGTGTACACTGTTATACACTGTTATATATAGACTGTGATAGGCAATTTACTCCAGGAAAGTTAGAATGAACTTGTGACCTTAAATGAGCATCATTATTCCACAATACTGTGAAATTCCGGAAATTATGTAATCACTTAATCACAATAAAAAAAAAAGAACCTTGGGGAAGGTAGGGAGGGAAGGGATGGTAAGGGGAAAACAATGGAGGGGGTAACAATGCTCAATAGGAAGTGTACTCATTACCTTATTCATGTAACTGTAACCCTTAGTATAGTATCTTTACAATAAAAAAAAGAGACAACCAGAGCCCTTCATTACCATCCACAGTCACTAAGAGACAACCAGCATGATCCACTACCATCCACAGTCACTAAGAGACAATCAGCATGATCCACTACCATCCACAGTCACTAAGAGACAATCAGCATGATCCACTACCATCCACAGTCGCTAAGAGACAATCAGCATGATCCACTACCATCCACAGTCACTAAGAGACAACTGAGACCCTCTATTATCATCACAGTTACTAAGAGACAACTGGGAGCCTCCATTGCCATCCATAGCAACTCAGGCGCATTTGGGACTATCAGAGAAACCCAGGACTGTTATTACCCAAGAAAGTCCCAGGTTCTTGGGTCAGTCACATGGGCCATCCACAACCACTGTGCCCATAATGCCCTGAACCAAAGTCACTGGGGACCATTCATGCTCATCAGGGCTACACAATACCACCCAAGATCAATGGCCATAGATAGCTACTCATACCCTGAAGACCACCCAAGCAGACATGAGGTATACAGGCCACATACAACCATCCAGGGTCTCTGAGGGTCATGAGTGACTGCCCAGGTTTCCTAAGGTCACATATAGGGTCTCATGAGCCACTCAAGAGTCCCTTCCAGTATTAAAAATCCTGAATGTGGGTTACTGGTTGCTACTCTTTGGCCAACTGGAGCAGAACACAGCGGTAGGCAGGCCAGAGCAGGGTGGGCAGATGGAGTTAGGAGACCTGTCCTTCATCACCCCCCACCCCCCCACCCCCGCTACACAGCGCAGTGTGAGCCCCTCCATCGTGGTACTATGAGCCACTTTACTAGTTTCCAATCAGAATCCTCTTCATTGTAACATTTCTTTTCAGCTTTATGAGTACAACTGGTTTGGGTATAACTTTATGAAAGTCTGGTTCGACTTCATGCCTTGTCTAGTTTGCTGCTGTGGAAGCATAATGGCCAGATGACTTCTGTGGGGAGGGGCCAGGGATGCTTTTCATGCTCTCAGTCAGTGGCACAAGCTGTTATCTAGCCTCTTTTCCTTCTATGAGGCCAAAAGATGGCACTAAAATTTATTTATGTTAAATTTAGGAATTATTTCTAGAATCCCTCTTAGATGTGCTCAGAAGCAGTGGTAGTAAACAAGCCATTTCTTTTGGAAGATCTGCATGGACATGGGTAACAGTTAACAATTCTTCATTGCAATTCTCTTCACTGAGTACCTTAGGAGAGAGGCTGGGTTGTGACTTACAATGAACTTGTCCAGGAAGCGTGGGAAGCCGTCCTGTCAGGAAGCCTGGCTGCCTGGCAGCCATGTTGTCAGGAAGTCAGGCTGTCTGGCAGCCATATTGTCAGGAAGTCAAGTTGTCTGGCAGCCATGTTTGTGGAAACCTCATGGCTCCAAAGATTCCTGGCAGGTTGCTGACTGTGGTTGCCCTGTTTGAACATTTCCAAGGTTGAAACTTTGTACACCAAGCATTAGCTTGAGAGGCTGGGAACTCACAAGAGCCTTTGATCAAACATTAGTTCAGACTTGGGATCTACACCAGGCAGGGCTGGTGTCGTCCTTTTCTGAACTACTGTTGTGTGCTGAATTCTCCATCTGGGCTTCACACTGGAGCAACAAGAATGTCAACTTCCATGGCAGTGGGAAGTTTGCCACCAGCTGATGTGGCTCCTGGGACAGGAGGCTTGTGTGGTCAGCGCCACTGCACAGCATTCCAGTGCCCACCTGACAGCGCCTTCCTCCTGCACCATTGTCCAGCTGTGCCAAGTGCTAAGTGAGGAGAATAGTTCTGCAGGAAGGTGTAAATGTGTGAGCTGTTCATCTGGTCACGTGAGCCCTGTCCTCGAAGAAGGCAGAGCTTCAGAAAGCCACCAGCCTGGGCCACTGAAGTGTCGTCCTTCAGCAACCCAACCAACACCAAGTTCCTCCTTTGTGTCTTACAAGACACAGCCAACAGAAAGCCGCTTTCTCTAAGAATGTCGTTGTGAATGTGTATGTACTGGCTACCACATCTCTACCATATTCTCTAAATAAAGTTCCCTGAGTTCTCCTTGTCATTAGTGCCATGGGAAAGTATTTCACCCAAGCAGGGCAAGCTCACCCCATTCCACAGCTCAATGTGAATTCCAACCAGGCTCTTACTGTCAAAGTTCTTAAGTTTCTATTTTTCTTAGTATTTCCTTACATTAACCTTGTGTATAATTTGAAGTCACCTTAAATTATTTTTGAGAACGAGGGAGAACTTGATAAGCCCCACTGGCTGAACGACACTCTGGGTTACTTTACACAGTAGGGTGGTGGGCTTTCCACAGCAGGAGTAAACAAGCAGATGACCTGCAGAGCAGGTGCTAGCCCTCCGGAGTGTGTGGGGTCCCCATTTTCCATGGCTACCAGGGCCAGCACTCCACAAGCACGCACATGGCTGGCTTCAGGAATTCCAGTTAGAAAGGGCTCTGGGATGAGACAGGCCTTCAGGGAGACACTGGAGGTCTTTTAGAAGAAAGAAAGGAGAAAAATCCTACATGACTTCAGTATCTGCTTACTATGTGTGTGTGAATTCCTTACTAGAGAGAGGCAGACATGGAGACAGAGGAGAGAAGAGGGAGGGGTGGAAAGTGGGAAGGGAAGAGGGAGGAAAAGAGAGGGAGAGAGAGATAGAGACAGAGAAATGGAGAAACAGTCAGTGACAGGGACTTTTCTCAGGGACTATGTAGCCATGTCTCTGGTACTGAAGTCCACCTGAAACTCTAGCTATGGTGGCCACCCTTGGGAGCCTGGAGATTGACAGTAGAATCATTCCGATTCAGGGTCTCAATCACAGCTTTCTCTCATACCCTGGGCTTCAGTGCCTCTCTCTGGACTTGGCTCACCTTGGATTTCTCTCTCTGATCATCTGTCTGGCTTTCCAAGGTGAAGCTCTACTCCTTGCTGGGCACTGGGCAACTTCCAGGTGGGCAGGACGGGCAGAAGTCAACCCTTCCTGTGAGGAGCTGCATGAGCTTTTAGCTTCACAGTTACTGTGTGGGGCATTGTAGCTCTTGTTAGTTACACATCTTCCTCTATTTAAGTCAACATACTTAAAAAGCCAAAGATAGAAAGAGAAGGTACGTGGACCAGGGGACCTAGGAAAACAAGATTTTTGCCTCCTCTACCTTAAGTAGCAGACAGAATCACTCTCTAAATGGGCACCCTACGGATAACCTATACCCTAAACAAACAGGAAATTTCCTTCTGTGAATTGCAGCTGTCCTGGCATTTGACTACACAGGGTCTCAGGCTAAATTTTAAAGGGAAGCATCATTTTCTACTAGGATTCATTCCATAAAGACTGCAAGCTGGGAGCCCTGCCAGAGTTGCCACACCCTGGTCACCCAGGGGACAAGGTGAGAGCCAACAGGTCTGGTGCAGATTGTGGTGGAGGCAGTGCCATGGGTGTGCACGCTCTTGTTTGCCCCCCCCCGCCCCCACCTGGCCCTTCTGTCCAGTACAAAAGCTGGTAAGAGGGAGGTGTGTGGGTTCTGGGGGGTGAGCTGGGACAGATTACTGACTCCTGCTGCGGGGCTGGGGACCCGCCCACAGCTGTAACCCCAGCACCAAGGTGGCAGATGTCCGGCAATCCAAGCCAAGTTTGTTAGAATTAAGGCGTCCCTGGAAATCACTACGCCGTTTTCGAACCTGCAAAATACAACTTTGCTTTGGCGTTTTTCTGGCAGTGGAGGGAGCTCAGCTAACTTCTCTCTGCTGGCCCAGGTGCTGGGACTGAGCTGTCCCTTCCTCTCTGATCTGCTGCTGGTCCTCTAAGTCCTGAAAATGAAGTTTGATTCAACACATGGCCCTCAGCGAGCAGAGTCCCGGGGTCATGCAGTATGACGCCCTCCCGACTCAAAGAGGTGGCCATCTTGAAATTCCAGCAAAGTCACCTACAACTGTCACACAGCACGCGGCTGCCGGGTGGATGGGCTGGTTTTCAAGTCAGTTGCCACAGGAACGTGAGCCTTGGCACAGCGGGTCCCCATCACTGCCCCGGCCTCAGAAGCCATGTCTAGTCGCGGGTCAGTGGTTCTGGGCAGAGGCAGGGGAGAACAGGGTCCCGTCCTTTGCATCTAGAGATGTTAGTTTGGGACTGACCTGCCCAAATCGCGTTGTGCAGGAACGAGACTCCAGAATCCATCTCTAAAGATGGTCCTTGGTTTCCACCCCGTTCCTCTGTCAGCGCCAGACTGTTTGAGCAGTTCTTCTGAACTCTGCTCCCATGTCCAGTCCCTGAGGGTCCCTTCCATATGAAGAGGCACGTGGTGGCAGCGGGGAGTCTCTCTGCAGTTCCATTTCAGTGTGTCCATAGACTCATCCAGCCTAGGAGAAAACTGCTAAGGCCAGACAACTCAGCAGTAGGCAATTAGGAAGGAAGCCACAGATGCGGGAGGCGCCGCACGGCCGCGGGTCCCCGTGTTTCCACTGCAGCGCCTGACCCCGCAGCTGTGAGACGCAGTGGCTGCTGGTCTTGCGTGTCCGCCCACTGGCTGGCTGTCAGCGATCCCTGACGGCTGGCACTTCTGTTTTCCCACACGCACTAACTGCTCAGGAAGTTCTCAGAAAATCCACAGGCTGATCGTTAAGAGCAGTGCTGAGTGGGTACCAAATGTCTGAGGGTATTTCTCCAGGTCTCTCTGCAAGGAAGCACCCCAGAGCCACCCAGAACCCTTGCTCAGGAGCAAGCGCGGCTCGGAGTCTGGCTGGGAAGCTGGGCAGATAGACTCAGGCGCTGCGAATCACTTGTCCTCTACTGCTGTGTCTACAACTCCTGTGCAGAGTGCACTGCTCTCCTGAGGACTTGGGAGGGGACCGTGGACAGGCTGGCCCCGGGCTGGGCCACCTGGGCTCAGCAGAGATACATCTGCCTCATGGTGCTGCAGTGCTCAGTAAATAACAGACAGACAAATGACTGATGAGTAGAAGAATGACAGATAAAACAGACGTAAGGATGCAGATGACGGGCAGTTGGTTAGACATAGATAGAGGATAGCCAGATAACCGATGGATGAAGATAGGAAGTAGCTAAATGGATTGCTCGTTAACTAATCTGATGGACAATAGAAGGATACTTGACGGATGGACAAGAGATAGATAATTAAAGGCTGGTTGATAGATGACAGATGGGTAGACACATGGATGGTTATCTTATCGACCATTTGAAGATGCTGGTGCATTGTAAGGTTCGTTGTAAGACTGTAAGATGAGCTGTGAGATTCGTCACCGGGCAAATCCTCGGTCATTAGAGCTCTTTGAAGTGCATGGGTGCATGCCTCCCCATCAGTGCACAGGGGACTGCTCTGAGCCTCTGGGCCAGCTCACGCCCAGCTGAATCAGAAGGAAGGTGCCCCCTGGTTACCTTTCAGGACGGGGCAGATTTTCCAGACACCTGCAGCCCCTTCTCTGTTGAACTGCCCGAGGGCCAGCTCCATGTAGAAGAGTGGAGTTCCAGCAATGATCATGAAGAGCAGGTAGGGCACCAGGAAGGCACCTGTGGACGGAAGGCACCCTGAGCCCGGGAACGTGGCGGGGGGGAAGGCACTGAGCCCGGGAACGTGGGGGGGGAAGGCACCCTGAGCCCGGGAACGTGGGGTGGGGGAGAAGGGACCCTGAGCCCGGGAACGTGGAGGGGAAGGCACCTTGAGCCTGGAGCTGTGGGGGGGAAGGCACCCTGAGCCTGGAGCCGTGGGGGGGAAGGCACCCTGAGCCTCGAGCCGTGG